CGCCACATGGCATGGACATGAGAAAGTGGTAAAGCTACTGATTGACCAGGGCGCTGACCTGGACGCTAAGGATAATGTCGGTCAAACACCGCTATCATGGGCTGCAGGGAATGGATATGAGGCAGTGATAAAGCTACTGATTGACCAGGGCACTGACCTGGACACTAAGGATAACTTTAGTCAAACACCGCTGTTTTACGCTGTACAGAATGGACATGAGGCAGTGGTGAAGCTGCTGGTTGACAAAGGCGCTGACCGGAACGCTAAAGATAGCGACGGTCAAACACCGCTATCATTGGCAGCAAGGCAAGGGCACGATGTTGTGGTCGAGTTTCTACGTTCGCACGATACACTTCCTTAGCCGCCTTTCCTAATTACTGCCTGATTGTTTCTTTTGTTAAATGGGCCATTTGTATCAGTGAGGCAGCCAATTCGCCTTTAGCAGTCAAGCCGCACTCCAGGAAACGATTTGTCCGTGGTCGAGTCGGGAGGCGACATGTCTAATGGATGACTCGGTTGACCCGGATGACAGGGAAGGTCAGTACATCCAGCAAATACGGGTCATCCAGAAACATGGCATAGGATGTTTCATGGGCGGTAGAATGGGACTGGGGGGCGACAACAGTGATACATGAGATGTTCCTCGATAGACCAGATGAAGTTTATAGGTGCTATGGTTCTTTCGATGCTTCGTACTCTATGTGAACTATCTCATAAAACTGACATAAATGCATAGCCAAGTTTCCTTCGTCTGAGGCTCTAATTCGTTCTCTCCAAAGGACGCACTCGGATATCCCCACTGATACCAATACTTTGCCGGAGTCTTTCCAATGCTTCCTGGCATATCTGCCTTGCTAACCGAAGTTGAACACGTCGATAAGTCCCAAGCGAGAACCCATCAATCAACAAATCGGGCATGCATGATGGGCTCAGTATCGGTCAATTTCTGACCACTACACTGCAACTCATGCAGCGCGTCGAGCATGCGAGAATAGATGCGCTCGAGTCTTGTATAACAGCTCAAAGCTAAGAGCGCTGTAGATCTATCTTGGAAGAATTGCCTCCCATTTCCCCCATTTTCCGCTACTAGCTTTCTTATTCTAATGGTCAATGGGAGTAGCTGGCATATTTGGAGTTAGGCTACGCAGGAACTGGGTATTCTTATCGTGTCATGCATCGCTTGTGAACGTGCCGTGTTCTGATCCTGTACAGGAGCTGCGTCAAGCGGGTGCTGGAATAATGCTATATTAAGCTCGCATAGTTCTTTCAGACACTGGAGATGCTCTTCTTGCTTATCCGATGTGGTACCGCTCGGAGACTCCTGTGATACTCGTGCTGCGCTGACTGGTACATGTCCGGGATGATCAGATGTCGCCAAAGGCTGATCACCAACAGAAACCCCAATGGCAGGAGCCTCTGCATCAAAGCTGGTCGTGCCATAATTCGGCGTAAAGACGCCCCAAAAGTCGATTCGGGAAGGCTACTATCAGTGAACATGCTTAATTACAATAACCAGAATAGCATTCTTACATATTCAAGAGGCTCAAATGATCCGGTTGCGGTGAAGGAATCGACATGTTATGTGGCGTAGTCAGGGATGGTACAGAATCCAAAATGTTCCAGGATGCTGTCCCTGAGCTACTGCTATCTAACGGACTTGTTATACCCAGTGCTTGCGCTATCATATTCTCTTGCGTCTCATAAGCCATATGGTTGCTATTGCGTGCACTGGGCGGACGGCCGATAGGCTTTGGACGTGGGACTGTGCAGATGGCTTTTGCACGGGCGCACCGACGACATTGCTCGGGGAAATCCCATATACAGCGCAGCTTTTGGCCCCGACACCGATCGCAAGCGGCTTTCGGTTTCTTGCTTTTTGTGATGCCGTCGCTGGGTGCTGAGGCTATGGGTTGTCTTCGGGGCTGCGCGGCAGGAAGCACCATCTCTGTCTAGATAATCGATAACGGTGTTCCAAGGCATAAAACGGAAGAAAAATCAAATGAATGTCAAAGTGAGATTTCTAGGTCGATACTCTGGGGGCCGAATATGTATGATTGTCTTACAGGCCGGTAATTAACAGGCAGTTCTTGGATTACAAATGATCGCTAATCGTCGTCGTCTTTGCTCAGGTAGAGCCTAATTTAGCACAGATTCCATGGCTTTAGGGTCAATTAGCTGTGATTTACTTTCTAGAATCATGGGTGTGCATAGTCGCACGTGCGGTCGCAAACTGAGAATAAACGAATTGTGCATAGGTCAATATAGGTATAAGTTCTAAACCCACAGATTTGTAACCGAAGCTCAGGCTGCTTCCACAGATTCTCCCTCGAAGGGTTTCCGTCCATATACAACGACCCTGCAATTGTCAGTTTCGTCTTATCCTCGTATGTTCATTCTTCCAGATACACATACATCTCCGGATACGCATGAATTGACGAGTCTCTCAGAGTATTTCGCATCCGAGCAAGATATACTTCTACTTCGTCGCGTGTCCACTGGCCGAGTTAGCATATCGGCGGCGCTGCGCAAGTATTTCGGGGCCCGCATACCCCTAGAACAGTCGTGAACAACATCATCGCATACCCTTCAATGGCTTCCTCGGCATAGACTCGGTTCAACTTCCCCAGAAGCTTTAGTTGGGGATCCTTTGGCCATTGTCCAATGGGGCACTTGTATCGACACTCGACGACATCGGCAAATCCTGCCTTCTTCATTCGGTCTTTGGCTTCATCGACAATCCGAAAGGTTTTCCCGAATGAATCTCCAGCGTCGAGGAAGTGCTGCGCCCATTCGCTATACATAGTGCCATTTGTAGTTCCATCGTCGGATTTGCCTTGGACTGATTGTTCGAGCTGCTCGATGTATCCGCCCGGCTTAATGTGTCTGGTCTCGTTAACAATTATTCTACATCAATGACGGCGAATCGTACTTGTAGGCCTTCTTGTAGAACTCATCCCAGTCCGACACGCAGCCGTATAGACCACGCACATGCACGAAGTCGAGAGTATTGTTCTTATACAGCCACTGGTCACAACAGTCATCTACCTCGAACTGCACATTAGGTGGGGTAAACGATGGCTGGATGGGCGATAAGTCTGTTCCAATGACTTTGGCCGAAGGATGCATGTCGCCGAATTCTATCGCCCATAGACCTGTTCCCGTCCCAATATCCAGGACATTCTTGTTCATCAGCACCTTTCTTTCACTCACGTACATAGGTGGGAGCAGCTCACTTGAGGGGCATCTGCGATAGGAGCTAGGTATAATTTGCCGTTTAGAAGTAGACGATAAACCTCATGTCTTTAATTATTAGCTCAGGCATGTGCAAGCTGCTCAGGGGACATACCCGATTTGCATGGTCTCTTGGGCTTGATCATCATTTGGACCCCTACCTAGGTCAGCATTCAGTGATAAAATGACAAGCCATTCACTTGCTGTACCAATAAGTGCCTGCATGATAGGCATGGTAGCGGCGGCCGTTCTCGTAGTAGTAGTTGGTGATGCTACTGCGGAGCGAGGTGAGTTCACTAATAGGATTAGATTTGTCTTTATTACTGTTTTTGCCATTCCCTTGCTAGACGCACGACTGAGGGTCTCCAGCTTCTAATTCGCTGGGATCTGTGTCCTAAGTGGAACTCATCGGTAAGATATAACGAGGATCAGTTTGTTTCGCAGGGCGCTCACAATGGTGATAAAGTTTTCTTCGTCGGTATCGACTTCCAGAGGAATATGGTTGTTGACCATGGTGGTTTGTGTAGCAGAAATTGGGCTCAGGAGAAAAGTACTAGGAGGAAAGCGAAGGAATAGAAAGGGAAAAGCCGGATAGAAATCCACATGATTAAGGAATCTCGATCCTTGTTTGAAAAGCCGCTAGTAGTGGTAGAGTTGGCCATGGATATAATGGAGACAGTAACGTCAAATGACACATGCTGGAGTATATGAGGCCACGTACTAAGGGTTTAGTTCAGCGGTACCTAGCAGTAATAGGGAACGGTTGATATTGATCCTGGTACTTTTGCTCTTCTTTGTTTTCCTTTTGTGGCGCAATATATTGATTTATAGACAGGGATCGGAGGAACTTTGAACAGTGCCACTTTTTGGCAGGCCGACACACATGTGCAAGGCAAGATCAGTATGAGTCCATCGTGTCCAACACGTAGTTTATTCATTATAAACAAGAGCGCCCTTTTGACTAATGTCATAGGTGGGGAACACTCCATTAATGTAAGTGATATCAATCGCCGCTAGCTATTTTACCTCTTGCAAAGACAATCAGGGACACATATACCAGGCTCTTCATCCAAAACCTACTCTCACCGTCTATCCTGGGCCTGTTCATCTAGTGGACTTTCCTTGTGATATAGCCCCGCCTTCGAGTTAAATACTGCAGAGAATCGTCAGCAAGTAGTTCGAGTGTCCCATGCTAAGGTGATACTAACCTTCTTCCATTTCCTCCAAGGACTTGCCTGTTGTTTCTTTGATGAACAACCAGGCATACGCCACAAGGATCCAATTGAAGATGCAAAACATCAAAAACATACCCCAACCCATACTATCCAAGGCGTGAGGTGTAGCTTGTGAAAACACAAAATTGAATAACCATTGGGTTGCGGTGCCGACCGCAATACCGACCTCACGGATCCTAGTAGGGAAGATCTCGCTCATATATAGCCATGGCACCGGACCCCAGGACATGTTATAGCACATGGCCTCAAAGTATACCATCAGAATAGATGCAATACCAGCGGAGCTAATGCTGGTGGCGTTTGGGTCTGGGGGATATACCTTCGCCAGGATCCCCACGATCAGCATCAGTAGGCCCATGAGAAAAGCGCCGATGATAAGCGACCACCGTCGGCCAATGCGCTCGACGAGAAACAAAAGGAAGAACCAGCAGGAGATTACTTTCGCAACTCCGAAGAAGCCGCTCACAAACAAACTATTGTCGCCAGCGCCGACCGCCTTGAATATCTGAGGAGCATCTGTACGCGATCAGCTAACTTCAAGCTTGTGCAGATATAGGGGCGCTAACAGTATGCCAGGGAAGTATTTCCCGTTATCTGAACACCTGTTTGTTGTTAGTGTCCACAGTGAATCCTGGGTGGGCATGATAACCAATATCGTACCTATCTGAATTGTGACTGCAATGCACATTCGATGTAGGTTTCCCGGTACTCGTAGTATCTCTTTCCATGTAACGCCTTCCGTCGCTAGGTTTTCAGCCTCTATGCCGTCTAGAATTTCCGCCATTCTGCACGGAATTAGTTCATAGTCTTGCATCCATGGAACAATGACTCACTCTGCCCGGACTTCATCAGTCTCCTCCCCCCCTCGAATCCACACCAATGATCGCATAGCCTCATCGTGCCGTCCCTTCTTGGCCAGCCAACGCACACTTTCCTTCAGAAATAGCATCCCAAATCCTAATATCCCACCTGGCACTAACTGCAACCCGATAGGAATCTGCCACTGACTGTCACTGGTTTCAGGGATATGTTTCTCTACTGCATAGTCGATCCAATATGAGAAGAACACTCCCAGGACAAAGAAGCCTTGGAAGAAACTTCCCAATCTTCCACGGATGGACTTAGGAGCCATCTCAGAAGTAAACATGGGTACAATGACAGTCGCCATCCCAACGCCGATACCACTGACTACCCGTGCGACGTAGAATGCAGCTACTGAGTGAGTAGGAATAACTTGAATGATGGCTCCAATACAAAATATGAGAGAGGCGAGTGCGATAGACCATCGGCGGCCATATTTGGCGGTGAATGGCCAGATGAAGAAGCAGGCGAAAAAGGCTTGTGGTCATCAGTCGAGGTTCACATAATCGAAGTGTGAGCGCACTCACCACCCGCCTGCAAAAGACTATTGGAATTGGAATTTATCGTCGACTTTTGCTTCTCGGTGTATCTAAACGAGTTCTGAAATGATTTTAGGGTGAGGACACCTCCAATTATTCCAGTGTCATAAGCAAAGAGGAACGAGCCAGTACAGGCTAGTGCGACTGTATAGTAGGCCCTTACGAGGCCTAGTGTCTTCCCCATATTGACAGGAGCCGTGGACGAAACCTGTGTACCACGCGAAAGAGTACGGCAACTGATTTAGACAGAGCAACTGACCAAGAAGAGAAGGCCTTATATCTTCGGCGGGGCACATAGAAAAAGCGCCATAAGCTCCACAGGCTCTCTGAGATACTGGCCAGGGCATAAAGCTTTGCGATCGCGGGTTTGATGATTGCGGTATATCAACTAAAATAACACCATTGAAGGCGGGACGAGATTAAACATTCATAGGGCCGAGTTCAGCTCTAGTCCAGCGTCACTGGTCATGGGAAGCCTTATCCCTGGGCTTCTGGATCAATCAAGGCGAGCCATGGATATGCCAAGCGGCGTTGGATGCGGAGGTAGGGTCTATCCCATCTTGTGATTGGGATGTTGGACGCCAATGCGCAAGGGCTGCTGGCTTATTTGCTCGCCTCTCGGCTCCAGGATATTAGCCCGATTAGCGCTTCTAACCTTAACAGGCGGAGTATTCTTACCTATCAAATATCTCTCTCGCCGAACGGACGGCTCAGAAAATGGGCACATCGATCGCCCCAAGCTTCGTTATGTTTGCGATCTTCTAACCCGTGAGACCGCCATGTGGGTATTAAACATAGCTACCGTTATAACGTGAAGAAAGAAGTCTTACCCACCGCTGGCTGGACGCCTGAAGCGTCACATTTCCGCTTGACTTCCAAAAACGGAACCTAGCGGTGTCGATCGCAATGCCACACGTCACAGCAAGAATACCGTCTCGATTCTGGGAAGATCAGCAGTAACCTCGTATGTCGTGGCTGTATTGGTTACACAGCCTCACCAGCATCTCAATTCTGACATGCTATCCAGCCATAAGAACAGATACTGCCCAAACCACAGCTTAATATGGTCGTGGATATGCCATCATCCTTTCTTTTCCTACTGTTTGAGTGCTCGCGCTCTTCAGGCTTTAGTCCAACCGGATAGCGAATGCATTTTTGACCTTATGGTACTGGGGATGCCTTTTACGCCAGAGGCCTGTCAGACACCGTTACTATATTTTCACAGCGTTCGGACAGACCTGGTTCGACAATTCCAAATTAAGGTCAAATTCGGTGTGAAGATATGTTCCTAAATACAGAATGTAACATACACAGGACCACGAATACAAATAGAATCATGGAAAGGGGTTACTTTTTTTTTGGCAGACTCGTATCCTGAAACCCAGTGACACCCAAACCAGGACATGCCTGGTTCGGCTTCTAAGCCACATACACTCCAGACCTTGAACTTTTGCCATCTCAGTCAACTAGAGCCAAATCCATCGAGACCAAGGACTCGTTTCTTGCCTTGATATTGAAACATATCCGGAGTAACCTAAGATCATTGGCAATACTGTTGGTTCAATAGATATCAGCAGCCGCAAAGGAAGTAGATGGGATATTACGAACCCCCGTATCTGACACATGAGGGTCTGTAACGCATTCCAGCCCTGGACAGCAGGTCCCTATAGAACCTGCAATGGACACGCAAAGAGCTCCGCGTTGAAGACAAGAATCGCAAGAGTCTAGAGACTCTGGGAGAGCCTGTGTACTGACAAAGAGTACTGATAGCATGAGGAGTATGGTTCTCATTGTGGCGAGATCCTTGGTGATCGTCGTAAGAGGGTAAATAGGTGTTATATAGTCAGTTATATCATATGTAGGTAATATAAAAGTATATTTGAAGAATTAAACTGCCCTAGCACTCTGGGGGAAGCAACCAGCTTTTATAATCTTTCCACGCACTGCGTCGTTACACTATTGTATGTGGCGTGGCCCCCTTGCATTTGCTGGGGTTAACCTGTGAAGGGATACGAGCGTACGTCGGGGTCTGGATGAGATGAAAATTCCAGTGAACTGTTTTAGCATCGTCGTCTCACTAGCAAAAAAGTCAAGTGACGAACATGGGATAGTCTTTTAGCATTCCACTTAGGACTCCCAAATCAATATCTTTCTTACCATTTACATTCCTATTGATTAATTCCGAAACATTTCCTCATACTACCTGTAAGTCCCACTCTAGGTATCTGCACAATTGAGATGGCGATGTCCCCAATCTAATACTTCCAACATGTATCATCCGCAGATCCACTACTAGGACACCTGTGTCCTGTATTGTGACGGGAAGCATCGAACATCAACGAACACACAAAATTGTCCTTCCTCCATCCCAGGTAATACGCTTTCGAACTGCCATTTTGAAAACTTTGTGTGCGGCGTTGATTGCAGAGCTTTTCTCATCCAGGAGGTATGCAGAGGGTGCAAAAATCAGAGCCTCCCCGGTTTGCAAACGTGCGATCTCGTGAAGCGCATCAAAAGATTCTTCGGAACTCTGACTGTTACTTTGGTCGCCAATAGGGACGTGCTTCTTGATCGTCCTGTACCACTCAGGGCTTGTAAAACGATGGATAATTGTCATAGAGCAAAGGTCAATCAGCCGCGGTGAGATGGTTGGCTCCTGCGTGGAGATGACGGTCCGAACCCCTAGGTGGCGTTGCTGTCGAATGATGTTAAGGAATGTTTCAGTCAAGTCCTTGGCTGCTGGTGTTTCACTCATGTACTAAAACCTCGTATTAGATGGATCAACATAGATAGCCTTGAAGGCTTCTAACTGACATACACTGAGCCAATTTGATATATCTTACCTTGTGAGCCTCGTCTGCCACGATCATCTTACCCCGCGAGGGATGGGCATGCAGGAAGATATCAATAGCAATACGGAAAAGGATACACGTGGCAGCCTGATCCATGAATGGGCAGGACAAATCCAAGATAGTGATGCCACCGTCAGTGAAGTAATCACCATTGTGCTCCCCTTTGAGATCCAGATAGGAATCAAGTAGATCCAATCTCTGATGTAAAAAGGGTGTTTGCATGCGGTTTAGATTAAGATTGTCCAGACGTCTTCTGAAATCAAGATAATCGAAATTTCCTCCCTTGTTTTCAATCGCCATTTCGCGGAGCACTCTGACTACCTGGCTCATGTACAAGGGCATCTGGCTACCATTTCCCATGGACATGAGAGATAGCATTGCACTGATATTCAAATGGTGTGGTTTGAGTCTGAATGGTTGAACCTCAACATTTGGTATCTGGGAGTATATTTTCTTGAGATTGTAGAAATTCGACGGAGGCACTAGGACTCTAACGGGGATTGAGAGTCCATGTTTCGACCATTCCGGCAAAACCGAAGAGAGGAATGCAGCTTCGCACGGCTGGGCGCTGACATTCGAAGTGTACTCATTAAAGTTGAGCACCAAGGTGGACAGTGGCTGCTTCAGAGCCCCTAAAATGGGCAATGACATGGAGCAATTCTCTAACATAGAGGTTAGCCTTACGCAAAGATGCGCGCCAAACGTCGATGTTACCGATAATGCAGCTCGTGGTATGAGATTTCCCACTGCCTTGGACCCCGCATATAAAGGCCGAGAATGGTACGTTTGTGTTTAGCATAACTCTAGGATCCTGGGGTAACACTGATGGTTGAGCCATAAATCCACCCATAAGAGCAAATTGAGCTGGCATAACGCTCGCAGTAGAAGATATCAAAACTGCATTCTGAATATTAGTATACTCATGGTCCATGAGAATGCCATCGTTTTGATCCTTAGGTTCCAGGAAGCATATCTGCTCTGCCAGAGAAGGCACGGCCGACGCAGTGGAATATGTGGCTCTTCCATTTCCACTATTGACCGAAAGGTAGTCCTGGAAGTCTGCATGGCTTGTTATAAATAGCTAGAAGCAACAAGAAAGATATAATGACTGTCAGACCTTGTAAGATTGCATTCTCTTTCTCTTTCTCTTTGCTCACAATGCCGTTGCGTATTCCTTTCTCTGGGCTCGCTTTTCTGTCACATGTTGCAGGCTGATATCTGTTAGAACCATATTTCTTTCACCAAGCTGGTCTAGTGAGAGTAATGTTCTTTCCTTACATCAGTTACTCCCTTATTCTGACTTTTGTATGTCTTTGACGGCCCAGCCTGTGTCTCTATCTTCTTTCCACTAGGGTGCTGCAGAGCGAAAGCATAGCTAAGTCTGGCGTCAACGGCAACAACTAAGGAACGAAGTAGCACGACTTACTCGACCACGATTTGGGTGATATGATTTTTCTGGCCTGGGTATTTGGCAAGGAATTTAGATTTGATTGCTTCGTTGTCGACCTGGCCCCTCTTCGTGTACATATCTCTAACAGCTTGACGTATATCAGCTTTCAGGTGCGACGGAGGCTTATTGGTCCCTGATTTCTTCTTCGCCATTTTGGGTTCTCAAGTTCTCAAGTTCTCAAGTGCTATAGAGCAACCTCTGATACAAGGAATCTGAATGTATAGATGAAAGCGACGCTCGTCGCAAGAGTTGCTCATGCTGAAGGGAAGTGAACATGTGGGTCACGTGGAGTAGCCCTACACCCCCAGGCTACTTGGACACCAGACAAGGCCGACACGTATCACGGCTGATGGGACTGGGATAATTTAACATGACTCGCAAGATGCACCCTTCTCCAGGCCTTTCTCTCAATGCAGTGCACATTCAACTTGGGAGCCCAAAGGCTGATATAAAAATATGTTATTGTGCGTCAAGGCACTAAGAATCTAAGATGCTCGAGTAGATATTCCATTACACTTTGCATTGTGAGAACTCGAAAGTATGCAAATCGGTGTTCCGGATAGACTAGTTGTCAAATTGTACTGTCTGTGACAATGCATATATCGGTCGCATCCATCTCGAGATTCGTGGATTATATTCCGGTGTTTCACGATGAGAGCCTAGAGAACAGTCGAATTCTGGTTGTAGGACATGATCTTAATGTGTTCGATTGAAGATGGACTATCAAGTCATCCCGGGAGGTCATCATTGCCGTTTTATATATTCAACATGAAGATACTCAGGAACCCCTCTGCGGGGTCCTACGGCATATTCTCGACTTCAGCGTCTCATCGACTAGATACTTACTGCTTAGAAAAATTTCACACAGTAGCATAGAAGCACCTGAAAATTAAAAAGAGGGGCAAAAAGAATCCGAGTCTTTCGATTGCAGAGGATGCATGGTACAAAGACAAAAAAAATCTCTCCCTCGGGGAGTCGAACCCCGGTCTCCCGCGCTTGTTCCTTTTGGGATGACAAGCGGAAATCATGACCGTTAGACCAAGGAAGATGAGATTGATCGAGTTACCGCTCGACCACTTGGCTCGTTGGTTGCTGTTCTGCTTTATTTATTGTCTATTCAAGCAAAGTCCCCATTCTGAAGAGAGAGGGTCGGATGACTGACAGTTTCGACTTGGACAGTGGCACGTTTTTCAGCGAAACAGTCACGAATTGTGCCCTTCGTTCGAGTGGTTAATATGCAGTAGAATCGTCAGGACTTGTACTACTATTAAATTAACTTCCTTGCTGCAGATGGACCTATTGAGTAACAACGCCACCGCACATTGCCATGTGGGCCCAGTTTCTTACTGCGTACAATCGAATTCAAGGATAATAACCCAAATGTTCCTCCAGGTTGGGTTTCATTTTCACAAAGTATCTCGTGACATCAATCTGCAGCCGGGGTATGGTACCAGGTACAGATTACTCTACTGCGAGGGACGTCCGAGAATCATGTGTAGAAACTTGAGAGCATCGCATAACGAAGACCAACAGCACCATTACCCCACCTGAGCGTTTTAATCTGGGGGTGAGCCGCGAAGATACGTCCATTTATCTCATAGTAGCACATTCAGAATAATTTCCAGTAATGCTTGTCGGTGATGCTGCAGATAAACGAGCAACACATCAACTGATTTATCCGCGCGTACTGTCGATATCGTCATACCTCAGATGGATTGTAGAAGGTCCCACATTGAAGAGGAACGATTAAGGTCGGACCCCCGACGGCTTGACTGGGGATCTACAGGGGACCAAATCAATTACAGGGGACATGGGTTGTCCACTCGGATGAGGGCTTTCTAAGTACTCCACCAGAATCGGCAGCAACATTACCCCTTTCGGAAATATCCCCAGGAACAAGCCGCCGGGGATCGCAGAAAAGTAGCTTATGTTGGCTGTTCAAAGGCCACGATGTAACATAATCATGCACCGTTATTATCCAACTGGATTGAAGCTTTAAGCCAAGGATTGATCGTCATCCATTAGGCAACATTCGACGGAGCTTCGGTCAGTTGATAGTGATGTCCCGTTCCCCTCTTCTGTCGCATGCAGGCCTTGAAGCATCTGAGTCGCCTCCCATGTATATAAAGTCAGACCATCCCAGGTCTAAGATCCTCCTTCTAGTGTGACGAGAGAAACTAACCATCAACCTCCTTGTTTCTTGGTTTCTCAGGTCCTCTTATTCTGCTCGCTAGAATGTGGTTCTCAAGCACCGCGTGGCTGCTGCCATTGGCACTTGCAGGAAGCGTCCAGGCGCTACCGAAAGGTGCTAAGATTGGCACAACAGCGTCGCACGTCAGGAAAGACGGAATCACGTACAACGTCTTTCAACATGCTGCCACTGGCGCCAGGTTGGAATATGTCAACAACTCTGGTATTTGTGAGACCACAAAAGGCGTGAATCAGTACAGTGGCTACTTAAGTGTAGGAGAGAATCAGAATATGTTCTTTTGGTATGAGCCCTCCTTATCCTTCTCCCAATTGTAGAGGTATCTGACGGGTCATCAGGTTCTTCGAGAGTCGCAACAACCCGCAACAGGCACCCCTCTCTGCCTGGTTCAACGGCGGCCCCGGCTGCTCTTCCATGATCGGATTGTTCCAGGAGAATGGACCCTGCCACTTCGTCAACGGCGAGGAGACTCCGTCTTTGAACGAACATAGCTGGAACAACTTTGCCAATATGCTCTACATTGACCAGCCGATTGGGGTAGGCTTTTCGTATGGAGATGACCCTGTTGATAGCACGTGGACTGCTGCTCCATATGTTTGGAAGTTCCTCCAGGCCTTCTATGAGCATTTCCCACAGTACGAAAGCCGCGACTTTGGCATTTTCACCGAGGTGAGAAATTCAATTAATGTGTGGTGCGTGGACACTGGAAAATGCTGACTGAGAAAGTCATATGGCGGTCACTATGGCCCCGGCTTCGCTTCCTATATCCTGAACCAGAACAAGGCTATCGAAGCAGGCAGTCAAAAGGGCGAAAAGGTGAACCTGGTTGCTCTGGGAATAAATAATGGCATGTTCGACTCAGCGCTCCAAGAGAAGGCTTACATCACGTTTGCATACAACAATACTTACAGACAGCTCATTGATGAGTCGTTAAAAGACAAGCTTCTGGGGGATTACGAGTCTCAATGCCTTCCAGCTGTTCAGAAGTGCCAACAAACTCAAACAAATGAGGACTGCCAGAACGCCGGCTCAGTGTGCGGAGAGACAGTTGAAAATCCAATCATGCAAGCGGGTGTTGACTTTGATGTCTATGATATACGAGCACCATCCAACGATCCCAATCCGCCATCGACATACTCCAAGTATATCACAAAGCCCGAAGTAGTGAAGGCAATCGGTGCGAGATCGGATTACCAGGAATGCGCGAATGCGCCCGGCCAGAAATTCCGTGGTACCGGAGACGGTCAGTATCTCGATTATCACTTCTGGCTCCAGGATCTAACTTGAGTAGAATACCGTTCAACCCTCCCAGACTTGTCTGCAGTCATTAAGGCAGGAGTCAACGTTCTTGTCTGGGCAGGCACAGCAGACTATATATGTAATGTCGATGGAAGCATCGCTGTGGCGAATGCAGTTGATTTCCCAGGACACGACGAATTTCAGGGCAAGGCCCTTGAGGCCTATAAGGTCAACGGAAAGGAAACTGGACAGTTCAAGTCTGTCGACAATTTCCATCTCCTGACAGTAGCCGATGCTGGGCACGAAGTTCCCTACTACCGTAAGTGCATAGCGTTTACCTTTTCCATGACCCGACATAAATTGCTAATTGGTGCAGAGCCGGAAACCGCCTACCAGGCCTTTACCCAGATCCTGCAGAAGAAGCCGCTTTCCTCCACATAAAATCTGTGAGTTGAGGAGTTGTCCTTGTGGAAGGCATTATAAACCAACACCAGCAGTGATGGATTCGAACTCGGATGTGTTAGGGGTCATCAGATAATATGTGATGCTATATGGCACTTAGTTATTGAGATCAAGTTCCCAAGCCAGCCATGGAATTGCATATAGTCATGTTATTTTATTGTAAATAAGGATGCAGGCAACAGCTTCTGTTGCCAAGAATCGTGAATACGTTGTATATCTGCCATTATTGGTCTATGACTTAGTATAAGACTGAAGCAAGTAGTGCAACTTGATGGAATGAAAAGCAGACTGACCTATGTTTATATATAATGATTCAAGTCTTGCTTACCCAACCATACCCTGTATACATTATTCATGGACTGGTGGAGAGAAAGTCTACCGGATACCTCATAACTAACATGGGGCACCAGCATAAGCCTTGCTTTTCAATAAGATGCGACAGCCTGCGATTGGACAGTGTTAGTCAACCCCTGTCCACAAGTTGACTAGTCCGTTAGCATTTATGCAAAAGAGAGAAATACAGCCTGTAATGGGCAACTAGTTGATGCGTCCGCGGTAATCTTAATCAATTAGCGCCTCATTGTATTTATAAACTATAAGCTAGGTACACGTCACATTGAGCCAAGCTCAGTTAGGCTTGCTTTCGATCAGCATAAGACACTTTCTATCCATACCAAGGGATAACTATATTTGAATATATCGAAGTGAGTAATGACTCTATGAGCCCAGTTTCGGACTTTATATGTGTTCACAATCACTTCACAGAGCATCCGAGTAGAATGATGCTGGTTGCAATACCAGTTGCTTCACAGTTATTGCTGGCTCCTGCTCCTTCGCCCAGCCCATAACATAGAAGTGGAGCTGAGCTACGTATGCCAGCGCATGAAAGTAAAACATTAGAGAAACAATATGACAAAGTAACTTGGCCACAGCTATACTTGCCCGCCATAATGGCTATATTCGGCTTGATCTTCATGAAACCCCCCTGTTTAATGGCAGGAGTCGATAGGCACTCTCAAATAGGCCAAGGCTATAACACGAGGTGGCAATGTGGTGGCTATATGCACATGTCCAGACCCAAGTACGTCCTGATTCCCAGTTTGTATGTGTCTCGAAGGCCAGTGGTGTGTATCCTGGTATGCTGATAGTCCGTACTAAAGACTTGGTCAGGAATGATTGGACGGGTTTTTTTTTACAATTGACTCAAGTTGTCACTGTCCAAAACAAGACAAATTATCTCTGCAGCTATCCGACTCTGGTGGCGCTAATACGACGGCTGCAGAAATCACACGATCCATGACTCTTATGAACATGTTTTGTATGACCGATCGAGAAGATGCTATATTTAGACTACCTCGCAAAGCTGAGCAGCATAGCTTTTACCATCATCTACGAAACGATTATTGAGGACTCGGCTCCTGGGCAGGCCTATACGAGTGAGACATTTCGATCCGGAATGCCCGAGACAGACACACGGGGTAATGATCGCCCGTTAATTGTTGTGCCAAGTCCAGGAAAAACCCACATCGTCTCCTCGTCAATAAGTCCCCTGAGACATAGCCAATGAACCCTTTGCCCCCAACGCCTGATGTCATGAGCGCAGTCTCCAGCTCTACGCGAGGCTTGTCCCGGATTTTGTTTCCTTAATTTGGGGAAGCGGCCCCAGAAGTATAAATCCACTGGCACTTCCCTCCTCAGATTAACCAACTTCCTCATACTCATCACGAAGAGAAAGCCCATTGACTCTCAGTTTCGCTGCCAACAATGAAGATCTCCGCTGCCATTTCTACTGCCCTCTTGGCCGTTAGTGCCGCTGCGTTCGACAAGAACCAACGTTAGTGATATAATTCCGTCTCACTTCCCAAACAGGATAATTAAGATCAAGTATAGCTTGGGGCAAGCGCGACTACAACTGTGTCAACGTCTTCCAGGGCATCCCTGACAACTCCACTGTCGCTCCCGGCGCCGAGATCAACATCAAGTTCGACCGCAAGTCCCAGAACTGCGAGACTCTGACCCAATACAAAGGATCGAATTATACCCTCTACCTCTACAACAACCCTGTTAGAAACCTTGACACTATCAAGTTCGACAAGGAAATTCCGATTAGGCAGCATGACATCCCTGAGAAGGATGGTGCTGTCACGATCACCATCCCGTCTCAGGAGAAGCTCGGCACCGTTGCGGACGACAGCGTTTGGTATCTCCGTCTCTCTACCAGCTTGAACGATGCCCCACAGATGCCTACTCTCTTCAATGCCGCCGGGCCTTTCGCCATTCGTGCTTAAATTGCTATGGCAGTAGTACGCGCCACCGCAAGACTCTGTTGACATGAGCATGGAGGGCTATTTTGACATATACCCTTAGATTAGCGTTCCTCTTTCCGCAAATGTTTGTCATTCCTTAACAGACTCTTTCAATACAGGCAGGTATGGATGTTAATATTCTACGTTTTGGAGCCCAACCGCTGGGCCTTTGTTCTAATTTTGTCCATAAATTAATTGAATGTATACCTGGTGTATGTAATAGGGCTTTATTCGGCCATGTGATATTCATGTGTGCTTCCGTAAGACTCAAACATAGATTACTTTTCCGACAGAACAGATGGCTTACATACGAATGCGTTGGACTAGAACCCCGAACAGTTAACATAATGTTGAAAAGCCAGCTTACCCTTAAGTTCCTGGTTTTCTTTTTTGCTCACATCCATATACTTTTTTAAGCTCCATCACTGAACTTTTTAAGTAGAGAAACTCGTCATTCTATCATCAAGAGCCCAACACCAGCTTCCAAGCTGCTTCACCATGCCTGGGGATCGAGGAAACCCCCCCGGCCTTCTCAAGGCCAACCAGTAAACCATAAATATAGCCGTCGAGTTCACGACGCCCGGCTAATCAAGATCACTTATGAACTGAGAAATAATCGGGGTAATCTTATATAAATGTAAATCCGGCCATCTGGGCAGCCTTTAGCAATACCCCATTGTCCTTTCTCGCTACAACCACATGTGTTGTTGCATATTGCACTTACTCAGACACTAATACATGTAATCCTACGTGAGAGGACGTAAAAGAACAAACTTGATGATGAGAGTATCACCCTGGTGCTGTACTTTCTCGACAATTTCAGTATATTCAATGGAATCTCATACTAGTGAACTCAACGTCCCCCCGCCGACAGTTGTATCACTCATATCCCCGAATTTTCACACTGAAGAGATTCTGGGCTACTCTTCCGTCCGCATCTGCATCTTCTGACTTCTTCCCAGTATTACAGTACTCAAATCACCCACAGGTATGGCAATCGGAAAGTCCACTGCCTCCAACATTTGCGCAATGAAGATATGCCAGATTGGTATGACCAGAGCGAGACTGAATGCACCTGCCGCCTGCATATCGAGTATGTTAGATAACAAGAACATAAAAGATGGGGGGAGGAGGGAATAAATGAAACGTACCATTTGAAGTCGAGAAGCAAGAGCGATCTCTCCCAGCGCCAGCTGGAAGTAGGTGGCGGCGAATAAAGAAAAGGTAATAACCAGGAGGAAAAGCGCGGTGAAAAGGCAGATGTTAGTTCGGATTGAACATATTGTGTATACAAAGGTGAGAATCGTTAAGGCGATGTAGTAAAACCCTATTGGTATAACTGGTTAGTGACGCTACAGCTTCCACAGAAGTTGAGAGATGATACACACCAAGAGTAGCGTGATATGATGGAGTTTGCATTCCCTCCAGTGCATTGCCGGTTGGTGAGTAGTGAAGCCCTGTTGCAAATAGGGGCATGAGACCGGTCCCTTGTACGATCCAAAACGTGCCTTGATGAAGTCAGTTATGGGCAGCCGCAGAGCTAGAACCTTGCGATACGCACCGTAGGTAAAGAACAGGGCGCATGAAAACGTGTTCCCGATAATCCATTCTCCAATACCGCCCAAAATTTGTATCAGTCCACCAAAGAAGATGAACACGGGCCTGCACCGCTGTGAGCCTCCAAATGGAGGTGGTAAGACAGACTGTAATGTACTCACAGGATTGCAGCGCCATTCTCGCCACTCCCCCTGATGCCCATCGTTATAAAGGCGTTTGGGGTGGCAGCTACCAAAAACCCGATAAGTGATATTGGAGTAGGGTTGCCTACTTGCTTACGCAAGTCACCTTTTACCGAGGGATGCTTGGGGCTCAGGTATAGCTTTTCGAATACATCGCGGGAGATAGGAAGGAATACACTCTCGGCTGTTCGAATTGGCCGAAGAGTGTCGATGTCATGCTTCTCACTGATATCACCACTCGACATGATTAAGGATGTGATGTGGGCGATGACTTGATCTTGAGGATTGCTGTAGTTCAAGCAATTTTAGGCCTACAGAAAAGCTATATATACCTCGATTTGTCCATAAGCTTACCCCATATTTCTTGGTTTAAGCTACATCATCATCTAACATCCCTGTATGGCCAATGCCGACCTGCATGCCGATCTAGTCAACACGGATCCGCTTTATGCGGGTATCGCGGAGAGAAATGCGGGGATAGCTCAATTTTGAGCTGTATTCGCAGCATCTGGATGGGTGAGAGCTGAATTAGAGTTATTGATAGTTGAACCTTCCCCACGTTCAGGGTACGCTGCAGCAGGGGCCAGAGATCCCGCCATGCGTTCTTAATACAGGGGGCGACAGGCTGCATTTTGTGAAGCCAAAGAAGCTCAATACATCCACCCACCCACAAACGCATGGGAGATTGCTTGCTGTTACAAAAGCGCCCATATCTTGTCTTCACTTACAACACGTTGGAGGTCTGGATCAAGTGGTAAAAGGGGGGGCGGGATCGAACCGCATTTTTCAGTGGAATACATTTTATGGTGGCGAGTTTCCTCGGCCTTCCAGGAATCTACTATCAAGTGAAGCGCTAATAGTTACATGCTGGTTCTCAATACTCAGTTCCATCTGCCCGAGAGCTTAATTGTCGGTAGTTTGAGCACGGTCCTGTACCATCTGGACTCTCATAAGCCTGGATGCTCGATTCAGCCCCTCAATGCTCTCTACCTGCTACCTGAAAAACTTAATTTGAGTCCTCACTCTTGTAATTCCCGAAAGTTCCACCCGCTCGCATCTAGCGACCTCGGTTTCGGTTAATGCGGGACTCATGGATGTCACTACGAGTATTTAGAATCCTTGGAGAACCCACTTAACCCTAAAGTAAGATATATCATCCCACCGAACGCTTCTATCACAAAATGTACTTGATACATCCCTACTTAAGAGTCTGCTTTAATAGAGGCAATAAACTGTGTAGCTATCGGCAGGAATCAGGGCCATCCAGTAGCGAGACTTCCGAAGGAAATTAGTCTGTCCAGCAGCAAGCAGCGCACAGACCGACAACTAGTAAAACTACCTAGATTATAGTAGCCACTAGTCGTATGTTATTTAACCTTGAAGCTTAACTTAGTTCTTATTAGAGTAGGAGTCAGTCTTTTACGCACTTCCGCTGCAGTTTCCGCCATAGCGGGTTCACAGCGGAATGCGAGCGGAATATAGCGGATTGGCGGTTTGATTTGCGGGTCGGATATGTCGATGAGTGAAGTATGCCCCGCCAATGACTGCCATCAAAATACTATATATAAAGCCAAGGCTTCGGAGGTGGTGACGTGTCATTTTCTAGCAATTCTAGATGGTCAGTACGCTGACTAGCAGTGGAATTAGTGTGGGGGATGTTTCGCACATATTCTTGAGATTGGCAGCTTGTCGTGCGGGTACAGAGCTACGTTCCAACCCGTAGTCTAGACTCTTCAACTAGGCTGTAGGCCATGCACATGGGCATCTAGAGCATTTGTGTGTCCCACGTATGACCGTAGGATTTTAGACTTGGGGAACCCACTTTGCCCCCAGCCCTACATGGTATACCAGGCTTGTTGGGCCGTAATGCAACAACCGATAAGCCGAGGTTAGGCAGTACTGCGGTTATTATGTAGAATTGTAACCTCGCTTTACTGTTGATGATCGTCTGTCTTAGCCTTAACTCGGTCCGTTTGTAACCGATGATTGCAGGACATAGAAACCGGAATAGACGCGGTAGTGGTACACTTTATCACAAAAGAGCGCTGAGAATATGCTGTTGTTCTTGGTCTACCACCTCTTCCTTACTCCTGTCAGGAAGACTTTGGTCGTCCTGGAATTACACAAATAGACAAGGTAGATCCCAGGAAGCAGCAGTATTAATGGCATACTAGTAGCAATTTTATGACGCAGTCTACGGTGAGATTCAGTCTGATGATGGCCTTGGCTGTAGTTGCTAGTAAGTAGGAGAATGATGAATGAGGAGGAAGCAGAGTACCGAGCCACCAACGAAGAAAGCAACGTGATGACTTCGCAGCGTGTCGAAGAGCGAAAGACGTCTTTTATATTTGTACTTGTCAAAGCCTATCAACACTTCAATGAAAACGCAATGGAAACAGAACATTCTGGCTTATGTTCAAGTGATTCTTTTTGAAATTGGTATATAAGGTTCTATTTATGACCTCTCTTTTCATTCCTACCCATCTACACAGCATACCGATAAGTACTGGGTAGTCCAATAATGAACAGAGGATTGTCAGCTAGATGAAAAGACTATTTGCATAAGTAGAATAAAAGGGATTAGCATCTTGAAAGCAAGTCGTTAACAGAAGTTGAAAATTAGTAGAGGTCATAGATCAGATGGGATACCCGACCCGAAGAAGCTCTTGACGGGCCCTGATCGTAGAGAAGGAAAATATATGGAGCATAGTATAAAACGCACCACTGGAAGCCGAGTTAGAAAAACCACCTTCAAGGGCTAGGAAAGGAGTCATGAAGTAAACATAATAAGCCCGGTGCTCGGATTGCAGATTACAGATGAACAACACGTGGTAACATAGTCTTCACCCTGGAAATTACTCTCGACTACGAGTTACCAACTCGTGCCGATTAAGTCACTGCCCTTTCTACACACCGCTCGTCGCTACTACCGATTGAATGGATCGGCGAGGCCTTCAGACTGGCCCAGGAGGATGAAGCCAGGCTGGATCATGCTACTGGCTTTAATTTCGTTCACTCTGTCTCTGGAAAACATCTTTACCGCAATTGCCCCAGTTCAGTAGACATATTGGGTCTTGACCTTCGCCACACTTTTGGTTCTGCCCTGGGGTATGGATATGTCTTTTCCGGTAGCAACAAGCTGAACAGTCCAGAACCATGTCATACTACACTCCAGACAATATGAAGATCAATCTGAAGTCCGGATAATCGACTAGTCCGATCCCGAGATTTCACCGTCTTTCTCATTTAAAGCGGCTATGTTTACCGCTTTAGAGTAGTAGATACCTGTTATTGATTCACCGTGATAAGATCAATAAGATTAACAGCAATACAAGACGGCCAAACAGAACTAACAGAAATGCTCTAATGGTTTATTTACCTCAGAAAGAGAGCAGCTATCTATTTATTTAAAGTCATATTGAAGGTTTTAGCGAAACGTTCCTCGTTCTGCTTCAGTGTTCACATTAGAATAAGGTAAGCTTTTTAGATAGGTCTTGCCAGCCAAAGTTTACGGTAATAACAACACATTACCTGCCATACATAAGGGAAAGGTATTTTAGGGTATAATTCTCCGCACCGTTATCACGTATGGTGCAGTAATCTGTACATGGAGGCTAGGATTTGATAGGG